TTTTCTGCTGTGGCTCTCTATTTCTTATTCAACTATAATGAGACATGCCATTTTTCATGGTTAGACAGCGGGACTGACTAGGTTGTTTTTCAGCTAGAATGAAATGTTACAGCATTTCTCACACAGATAAAAACTGAGTATCATTATGGTAGAAAAGTCACAATGATAAACTAGAAAAGTGAAGATATTTTTAAACTTCATCATATAAAATTATCTCATGATCTAAAGTGAGACAAAGAATGGTAGTGCTGAAAATGGCCCTGTCAGGTGCATATAGGAAGTGGAGAAGGGTATTAGCAGTATTACTTCCACTATATTTATGTTCAAAGGTCATGAAGAAAGGAAATGACCAGATTAACAGCTTATTTTTAAAAATCATAAATAATTTAAATAGTTGCTTATATATATATATATATATAAATCAGTGTTATTGTTTTTTGGTTTGATGAGCTGGATTGATGGAAATATTTATTTTGTACTTAAACCCAGATGCTGCTGTATGTTTTTTTGAGAGATTTTTAGAGAGGGATAGTAACACCGAGGAGATTGTGGAGTCCCTTGGACTAAGTACTTCAGATGAGTCTGAACACAAGCACCTAAATCTACAAGCAAGGAAAAGAAAATTGATTATTTGTGAAAGATGGGATGAGGGAGAAATAACTACAGGGATGTCATTGCTGCATTGACTGCAAATTAATAGTATCCATTATCACAATGCTGGTCACCTAAAATAGCAATGAGATCAGATGTAAACAGGTTAGTGTTTAAAGCCTCTGTGCTTCTCATGCCATTTTAATGGAAAGCATTCAATTTCTATTCATTTTCAAGTAATCACAAATGTATCATAAGGCAGAAAAATCAACATTTATGTGCTTTTAGTCTCCAGACTGATTAAGTGTTTCTCCTTTTCTTTTAACTAAAAGACATGAGGAAAAGAGGCAAGCTACAAAGACTCCTGCTCTCGACACTGAAGTCCCTTGATTTAAAAATTCCTTTCACTTTAAAAGATAAATATTATGAGGTAATCATAATAAAATGCCAGGTGAAAATATATTAGACCAGTTTCCCACTGACCAACATTTTTTATTTGCATATAGTCCCAAAATACAGTGATCAAAATCCTGAACACTGGGAAGCAATGGAGAATATTTGGGGTTTTTTTTAATTATTCCATTCCTAACAGGGATATTAATAGAGACTGCATCACCTAGAGATTTTCAGATTGTAGTAAGCTGGTGGGTAAATGGTGGACAGACTAAAGAACAGAGATTTGATGTTGTGAGACCAGAAAAAAACTACTGGTCCAAAAATGTGAGCAAACAAGTGTACCCATATTGCTCAGAGGCTAATTTAGTGAACTAGAAAGAATCAAAGAAATGCTTCTTCCAAAGACATCTGTGGATAGGAGGTAGAAGTACACTGCATTATTTTCATAATTTTGGTGAGTATCTTGAGTGCTAGGTGGAATTTGCCACTGCTACATAGAGAGATGATGCACACTAAAATCTCATAGAAAATTCCAAAGTTTAATTACCTGGCTCTTTTTCTTTTTTTTTTAAATTTCAAAATCAGCATGCTAAAATATACTGCAGTTTTTACTACAATTATAGACTTGAGTTTTTGAATGCACAGAAAAACTGGATCTGAGGACATGTAATCAAAGTCCTCCATGAACTATGCTTGTTCATGTAAATGCAGCATCACCCTTTGGACAGTACCAGCATAGTCACACAAAGCCAAGGGACTAATTAAATGTTAATAATCTGTTTCTTTGGTTACCCCTTCTACCCAGCTTCCCACAACCACTCTTACAGATGCTGAGGTGCTAAATATTATCACTGTGCTTGAGTAATGTGGCCATGGGATTCAACGGGATCTCACACATTGTGCATTTGAGTAGGAAAGGGCCTGGGTGGACTCCCTCTGTTTTTCTTTTTCTCCCACAGTGGACATGTACAGCCTGCTCATGTCTCTGCCTGTCTTCTTGTATCACTTTTGGGACTGCTCATTGATTTCAGTGAATGCTTTGTTCTGATTTTCAAATTCAACTGCCAGAAGATAATTAATCTTTCGAAAATATTGTGAGGTGGAGATGGCTGTAACCCTGTCTGGAAAGAGGGTGTCAAAGAGTATCTCCAAACAGAGCATAGAACATGGGGGAGTTATATTAAAAGGGGAGGCTCTGCTCAAATATTTGTTGATGGCTTATTTCTCTTAAGAGCTGGAGTTTATATTAGTATATCACTGTAATCAGTTTCTAGTTTTCTGCAACCATGGTTGGTATTCCAAGGTGCTGAGAAGCTTGCAGGCCATTACTATCGAAAAAATATTGTCACAGCATTAGTTTTTAAAATTTAAGAAATAATTTAGGCAATATCTGTTAGACAATATTCCTTTCATCTTTGAAATAGATAATTGAAATATTAACATGTCTTCAGTCATGAGGGAGCTAGGATACTTTGAACAATTTTAGCATTATGTGGTTTATTTCTTATTAAATGGGAGCCTGAGACATGCATCCATCTTTTTCCATGGAAGAAATTAGATGCACATACATCTTCTCTCATTTTAAAGAAGTGCTCATATAATTTGTTTTGCCTTTTAGTTAGATCAGGCTGATGATGCATCATCTCTTCAGTGCTTCGACTAAGTTGCTAAGCTACCTTAAGTCTGCTGCTTATAAAACCTCATTCCACAAATATGAGTGGAAAGCACCAAAACAATTGGGCCCCAAGAATACAAAGCATAAGCAGAAATTTGGAGGGGAGTGATGATTGTGGGTGGGGAGAAAAGTAGGCTTTTCTTTCCATTTTTATAATCAATATTACATTTTTATGACACATTCAGTGAAAAATCAGACAAGGAATCACCTGGATAGCTTCTGGGTGGAGAGAGCAAATGAAAACATATATAGTGATAAGATTGGAGATAATGTGCAGAGAAAATGAGGAACCAGGAGGGGAATAGACTGACAGATAATTGGAACAAGTGGGGCAGTACTCCTTGGAGGAAGCTTCTCTCTATTCTTGACAGGCTAACCTGATCTAAGTCCACCTAAGTAGGTGAAGAGAGAGATCCCTGAATTGTGGGCATTTCCAGCATAGAGAATATTGTGAAAGAAGGGATGTTAAGTGGCTACTCTCCTGGGATAACTTGAAGATTACACATTTCTAGATTCAAGTGTAGAAAAGAAGGTTATGAGGAGATGCTGTTCTCCCACATCAGTCTTTATATATATTTTTTATAGTTCTTTTCTTTAATGGTTAGGTGTGCATTAGCTGTCTGTATCAGGAATTAGTGAATACCGTATCACTAACAGTGATACTGCCTGAGGATCAGTAACTAAATAAAAAATCCTCTTGAGTTCTTGATTGCATTATGTCTTGACAGTAAAGCAAATGTCACATTTTCAGGAGCAAACTATTTAATTTCAAGCATTCTGCTCATAAATTATGTAATCCAAACTGATAAATGTGGGATTTCCTGTGCCACAAGTTATTTTGTTGGTCATGGTACTTTATGTTTCAGCTTTATGAAGCAACCTAGCTGAAGAAGGGGCCAGAAAAAAAAGGATTGAGGCTTTTCTTCCAATATAGGTCTTCATAACCATAGGTCTGCAGCAATACAAATGTGAAAGTAAAATCACACTTCAACCTGATGTTGAGATGTTAAATACAGATAGTTGTGCTTCTACATGCATTCTGTCATCCTGTACCTCTTTATTAGGTGGTTCACTTTTCAACCAGCTAACACACTGAAGATGAAAATATTTTGAGACATTATAGAAAATAGACTTTTGCATTAGGTGCAGACTCCTCCAAAGCCTGACTGGTAGTCAACTGGAAATGCTCTTTCAAACAATTCAATCGCAAATATTACTCTCAGATGTGGTGACAGAAATTCCTATGGCATTTAAAATCCATTTGTGTTTTAGGCTTTGCTTAGCATATTTCTTTTACAAACCTCAGTTGCAATGCTTGAAGATGTAACAGCAAAACAACTTTTGTCCTGTCTCTTCATGTTACTTTGGCATTCTTTTCTTCTTTATTCTCAAGGGTTTTTCCTAACACACTGCACACAAGCAGACTTTCAGCTCATGCCCAGTAAGTCCAGGGATATCCCTGTGCTTCTAGGGCTCCTGGGCCATGTGGACTTCTAGGAGATTTATTGATGCTTTTGTGTCATTGCCACTGTATGAGCTCTATTTCTTACAGGTTCCAACTTTGTCTCCTGCAGATTTCCTTCAACTGTTCTAAATACTGAGATTTCTTTTTCTGCCCAATATCTTAATTCTTGATGATGACAGGGCTTCTGCAATCAACTCCATTATCTTTTTCTTCTCAATAAGATTACTAAGAAGTCTATTACCTGGAAAAAATGACTTTATTTAGGACAGTTTATTATGTCATTTTGACTTTGAGTCATGGTGGTTTTGGTCTTTATCTTGCCTCCATACATTAAAAATGATAATAATCTTATTAGAGAGTATAATGCAACCTTGCCACACATCTTGGAAATGGACAGCTAAGGCACAGAAAAATAGCAAGGCAAATGGGACCAAGGAGAGACAACCATGAGGAAATATATATTATTTTTCTTCCCTTTCCTGTTCATATTTTGCTGCACATACAAAGCAGAACAAGTTTGTGCCACAGAAGGAGCAAGAACAAATCTGAATCTGAAAAATAAAATTTATCACTTTAGCTGAAAGACTTCTGTAAGATTGCTAGTACAGTTCTGAAAGTTTTGCTAATTGAAAATCAGTACTGAAATATTATTCTGTGAAGCTAAAGAAGAGAAGCAAATCTCTGGTAGCTTGTCTGCTTTCCTGTAGCTACTGGTAACTCGTGCTGCATCTGAACCCGCTGTGCCGTGCCGTGTGATGTTTCACAGAGGCTCAGAATCAGCAGCCCCTCCACTTTCTGCAGTCCTGAGTCCCATTGGCTGGAAAGAAAAGCAGAGGCGGAGAGTGCCCTGAATATTTTTCTCTTCCACACACGGTGAAACAGGCAGCCAGCATGCACTGCCTGACAGTGAGAGTGGTGCTTACAGTTTGACAATAGTTCCTGCTCCGCAGCAGTCATTTGGGCATTTTATGGTCGCATCTCTTTAATGGAAAGCACCAAAAAAGCCTTGCAGCATTCCAGTGAACTAAAGAGGAACTAACCATGGGAGAATCTGATTAAAACATAGAGACTGTTGGGACTCTGTGACATAGATCACCAAGGTAAATGCAATGACTATTCAGAAACTCTGTCTGTAAGGGTGTAAACCAGTTCTTCTGAGTCTGAAATCTTATTTTTTCACAGTAGTCGAAGTGTTCTGAACTGCTGCCTGCCTCGGTCCTAGCTTCTTTTTTTTCTTTTCCAAGCTGAAAAGCCAAAGAAGGTTTTCAAAGGAATGCAAAAGGAACAGAAGTTTTAAAAGCGGGAAGCCGAAAGACATCTCCATAAGATGAATTTCACCCAGCATCGTGGGACACTCCAGCCTCTCCATTTCTGGAACCACAGCTACAGACTGCACGGAGGAGCTAGTGAACGCACTGTGAAGGGCCACTCCTCAGGAGGCTGCTATGAGCAACTTTTTGTGTCCCCTGAAGTGTTTGTGACTCTGGGCATCATCAGCTTGCTGGAGAACGTCTTGGTCATTGTGGCGATAGCCAAGAACAAGAACCTCCATTCTCCCATGTACTTCTTCATCTGTAGCTTGGCAGTGGCTGACATGCTAGTGAGTGTATCTAATGGATCAGAAACCATTGTCATCACCCTGCTAAACAACACAGACACAGATGCACAGAGCTTTACCATAAACATTGATAATGTCATCGACTCAGTCATTTGCAGTTCCTTGCTTGCATCAATTTGCAGTCTTCTCTCAATAGCAGTGGACAGGTACTTTACTATCTTTTATGCCCTCCAGTACCATAATATCATGACAGTGAAGCGTGTAGGGGTTATCATCACATGCATCTGGGCTGCTTGCACAGTCTCAGGCATTTTGTTCATCATTTACTCTGACAGCAGTGTTGTCATCATCTGCCTAATCAGCATGTTCTTCACTATGCTCATTCTCATGGCATCCCTCTATGTCCACATGTTTATGATGGCTCGTATGCACATAAAAAAGATTGCTGTTCTTCCAGGGACTGGCCCTGTTCGTCAAGGGGCCAACATGAAAGGGGCCATCACTCTCACTATCCTGATTGGAGTTTTTGTTGTGTGCTGGGCTCCATTTTTCCTACACCTGATTTTCTACATCTCCTGCCCCTACAACCCTTACTGTGTGTGCTTCATGTCCCACTTTAATTTCTACCTCATCCTCATCATGTGCAATTCCATCATTGATCCACTTATCTATGCATTCCGTAGTCAGGAGCTTAGGAAAACATTCAAGGAGATTATATGCTGTTGTAGCCTGAGAGGGTTTTGTGATTTCCCTGGCAAATACTAAACTGAATGGATGGATAAGTTACTGTGTACACAACTGGCAGCATAGATTTCCTAGCCTTCGGATCTTCTTTCTCAGCAGAATTTGGTTTAAATCTTTAAGAGTGACCATCTGTTTCTGTGTCCCCCCCCCCACCCCCCCACCCCCCCCGCCGATTCTTGTGTTCCATTCATGTGGAATTCATATTTCTGTATAATATTCATGATGTCTATAGTTTGTAATTTATTTGGCTGGAAAGATCAGTAGCACTTCATACCAGTTTGTAAATAAGCAAATAAATGTAATGATGAATATAAAATAGCAACAAACATGAGCAGCTATATATTCCAACTGCTGACAAAATAAATATCTTGCCTGACTTATAGTACATACTGGCTAATACTGTTTCTTATTCTGTTGAAGTAATTATAGCTATCCACTACATTATACTCAGTTAATAATAGAGCATGTGCTTCTACATTAGTAGATTAAAGGTTCTCTGGAATTAGAAAGCAGATTTTTCAGAAAGGCTAGTGAAACCAACAAGTTCTATTTATACATTTTGAACTCTTCTTGTTTTGCTTCACAGCAGAAATTCTACTTTTTCTTTCTTACTTTCCCTGCCCACAAGAAGAATTTTCAAACACTTGCTACACAGCCAGTTGAATGCTTGGGCTTTGGGCTGGGTTTTTTTCCAAGATGATTGCTGTATGTCTGAGAGTACCTTTTTGCAAAATTTAAATTGCTCCCTGGAGCATCAAATAGTCCTGGATATATCTACTAGACTGGCATCCAGGCAGACTAGCTCCCTCCATTCGGCCATGAAACAGGTACAATATTAACTTTGACAGTGCCAGCAGCAGTGCAAATATTCACTGAGAGATTTACCTGGTGAAATAGAGAGGGAAGTTCAATTGGAACATTCAGTCATTTTTCTGAGGTGCTGTGGAGAATAAGGACTCTGTGCTCCAGATGGAAATGCATCCTTGTTGAAAACAAGCTGCCCTCTGTTGTGAAGTGCAATGGTAGCAGATGGGATCCACTGCCAGGATCTTTACACAGGAGTCAAGGCAAGTGTTAATTTGGTCTGGGCACCTCAGCCCATACTGTGGAACATATGGGCTTTGGAGGGGCAGTGCTGTCACATGGAATGAGTGCCTGCTGATGAGTCTGGTTACACACGCTCAGCATCTGGCAGCTGCTTGAATTCAATTCACCTTTGCAGGCATCTACTTGATGTGTTCTCAGTTTCACCCTAAAATTCCATGCTCTTCACAGGTTGTTTTAAGGACCTCGGGTTCCTGGTATTAGTCCTTTTGGAGATGTTTAAAGCATAAATGTGACTACACAAGATTCCGTGAAGACGTAATTTAGTATCTTGACATTTTGATGATATCAGCTTCTATATAAGGAGAAAAAAGAGTAATTTATCTATTCCCAGAAAGTATAAAACACAGTGAAACTTGTAGAAGATCTGGAGAGTTCTGATTTAAGAACTCAAAATTAAAAGTAAAAAACAACTCAGGTTTTAATGCTGAAAGCTTGCTTTTTACCAAGATGAACAGTGAATGAATGAAATACAGGATGGCCAATCCTATTTACTTTCTTGTAAACAGATTGTTCTCTTCAGCTGCTAGTTTTTTCATCAAATTAAAACATAAAATGAAAAGCTATTCAAAGAGAGCAACGATTGCTATCTCAGATTCTCCAGACAGAAGCTGATATTTCATCGTGGATAACTTTTCAGGATATCGCAGAACTACAACATTTGCCCCTCTGTTAAAGTGCATGAAAGACTTAGGGTGAGTCTTAGTGTTTTTAACTTTAACTATTTATAGGAAGAGCAAGAAAATCATTTGCCTTTGTGCATTGAAGTCCCTTGGTAGACCAACAGCACCAACATCAGGTCTCCTACAACCTACTTTTGTGCTTGGGCCAATCCATGGACCTTGCTGCTTGCAACACCACTATTGAATTTTCTCAGCTTTAACAAATGATATTTCCACATCAGTCGTAGTGTGAAGGGTATTGAAATATATCTACTACATTAATTCTACTATTTTATTCTGGAAGAAACTGTAAATATTTCAATAATACCTGGTTCCACTTGATATAGAATAAAAAATGCCAAAGGAGGAGAATTAAAGCCCAAGCAGAGAAAGAAAAGAATGCATTTAAATTAATATTCTATCCAAAAATCCAGTGAGCTTTGCTAAAGGCCTTTCCTTCTCCCACAAGATACAATACTCTGGTAGTAATGAAGGAAAATACTCTGGTAGTAATGAAAGAAAATATGGATGCCGGTTTAAACAAGGCATAAATCCTACTTGACCTTTGCTTTGCCTCATTTTCTATAGCTGTTTTAGGACTGTAAATTATGACACTGGGGGCTTCAGCTTTTCCTTTTGTAGTCCATAGCTGCAGAGAGGGCCCCAATGAAAGTGACCAAAGAGCAAAATACTACCTTAGGTGCTCTGAACATTACCTTGAAAGTCTCTATTTCTCCCCTTCATATGTACAAGGAGCAGATACTTCTGAATTCTGAAGAGGCTGTATTTAAAAAAAACCCAGTGTGTATCTCTTTTATGCTTATTTGGACTATGACTAGTCAAGACAGTTGTGACACCATTAGGCTCTAAATTTCATTTATAAATATAATTTTTAAACTATCTTATTCCAGAGCTTTAGCAGCTCTGAGACTGTTTAGCAGCACTTCTGTCTTTATTTCATAACAGTATATGTACATAGATATTTTTAAATGGAGTTTCTAATTAAAGATGATTTTTTCATTTCATGGTATCATTTTGGAGAGTGCAATTCATTGAAATTGTTGGCACATCTGCTACATAGATTATTTTCCTATTCCAAAATAGTCTGTTTCTTCTGAGTAGCTGAATCAGTTTGCCAGAACCATAGGAATTATTCTTGCAAAAGATAAATTAATTAATCTAGTTTATTGGAGATTGGGAGGAGTGGAGGATTATTTTCCACAGTCAATTTTCTGGAGCTTTGTTCTTCTATTTGAAAATACTCCAAGAAAATGTGATTTCTTTATTTAAATTACTAGGACTGTAATTGCTTTAGCACTTAGCATTTTGGTCATGTTAGGTAACTGTAGTGGGCTGACCCTGGCTGGATGCCAGGCACCCACCAAAACTGCTCTCTCATTCTCCTCTGCAGCTGGACAGGGGAGAAAAAATATAATTAAGGATTCATGAGTTAAGAACCAGGAGAGATCACTCATGAATGATCTGTTCATGAACAAAACAGACTCAAATTAGAGATATTAATTGAATTTGTTACAATCAAAGTCAGAGCAGGATAATGACAAGTAAAATATAACCTTAAAAACTTCTTCCCTCCACCCCTCCCTTTCTCACTCCCTCCCAGCTCTACCTCCTCCTCCCAGTGCCACAGGGAGACAGGGAATGGGGTTTATGGTAAGTTCATCACACATTGTTCCTTCCACTTCTCAAGGAGAGGAGTCCTTCCCCTGCTGCACTGTGGGGTCCCTCCCACAGGAGGCAGCTCTCCATGAACTTCTCCAATGTGAGTCCGTCCCACGGGCAACAGTTCTTCACAAACTGCTCCAGCGTGGGTCACTATTCCACAGGGAGAAGTCCTTCAGGCACATCCTGCTCCAGCATGGGTCCCCCAAGGGACCACAAGTGCTACCAAGAGACCTGCTCCAGTGTGGGCTCCTCTCCACAGATCTGCAGGTCCCAGCAGGAGCCTGCTCCAGCATGGGTTTCCCACAGGTTCAGAGCCCTCTTTTGGGCATCCCCCTGCTCTGGTGTGGGTCTCTCCCATGGGCTGCAGGTGGATCTTTGCACTCCCATGGACCTCCATGGGCTGTAGGGAAATCCAAGATCCAGTGCCTGGAGCACCTCCTCCTCCTCCTTCTCCACTGACCTTGGTGTTTGCAGAGCTGCTCATCACACATGTTCTCACTTCTGTCTTCTCTGGCCACATTTAGATCCGACAGTAACTTTTCTTCTTCTTGAATATGTTATCTCAGAGGAGTTGCCATCATTTTTAACTAGCTCAGCCTTGGACAGCAGCAGATCTGTCCTGGAGGCAGCTGGCATTGGCTCTGCCAGACCTGGAAGAAGTTTCTGGCAGCTTCTACAGAAGCAGTTGATGCAAACCCAATACAGCAGCAATGGCATGTTCTTCTGCAGCAAGCCTTTTCCTGAGCTAGACATTGATGGTAGTGTTCTCCACATTTTCCTAACAAACAACTTAAATTTTACACAAAAAGTTTTTGAAGGAAATGTCTATCTTCTTCAAGAGGGACTTTTCTTTAGCTTCGAAGTAGTTTTAGAACAAAGCAAAAGACTTCGAAAAGCACTTAGAGGATGTAGTTAGTCTCAGTACAGCAGATTTTGAATGATGACCCAAAATCTCTTTTACATCTGAAATATGATATTATCTGGAAGCAAGGATAAATGCTTTAATAGAGTCACATTATTAAAAATGCAGCAATGCCTTCAGTTATGCCTTTAAGAGATGTGTGGTGCACGTGTTATTGATGTAATCGTAAAATTACTCTTTTGCTCTTAAACTGATCCTGTTATACAGTGTGTTTATTGGGGCCTCCTTCATCCTCAAACCTAATTCTGGTGAAGAACTTTGATGTTATTTTTAACACACTGTATTGCTTATAGGCTTGCATAAGAATTGCAGTCCCAATCCCACTGGAAGGAACTCTACAAAAATGTACCCTTGGGCATGAAATCTTCATTGTTCATCCAGAAATTGCCTTAGATTTCAAGTTAATATTCTGATCCCTTTCATCATAGCTCAAGTATCATAAAGTTTTCCTTTTGGATAAATACTTCTCTCACAAAAAAAAAAAAAAATACTTCATGTGTCATAGGAGCCCTTGACTACTACTACAGATGCTCATTGTCATAAAAGCTAGGTTATGAATTGACCCTTCTTGTCCTTTTTCCCTTTTTCCCCCAATGGTTCTGTTTTCCTGGATGTTTTTCCATTTTTTTGCTCACTTTGTGCATTTACAAAGAAATTTTCAAATCACCCCTTCAAGTTTTTAATGTAAAAGTATTAATCTGTTCTCCTGTTACTGGTTTTTCTCCTTGCAAATATTGTTAATTTGTTTCAGTTATTAGCCTTCATGCTTGGTCTATTTCTGGATTTGTG